TGAACAAAAAAATCCTACTTTAGTTTTTTTTATATCTCGTAGCTGATGCCCCTTTAAGCATTGACATGCTAAAAAATAATAGGACATTTTATCAAAATTTGCATTAGTAATAGTGTTCTTAAAATTGAATAAGTTCGACATACTAAAACTCCCTTAGGATAGAAGAAAGAAATTGTTGCTTTGATTTCATTTCACTATAAAATGTACAAAACTGAATACAATAGGCCTCTTCATGGTTATTGCAGCAATATTGAATAGAACAGATGTTATTAGTGGAGGTGAAAATGCTTTGAAAAACACGGGAAAACATCTTTGAAACATAACAGTTGCTTGGATATATGCAAATAGATTTCCGTGTACTTTCTTACTATTTCCACATCCATCCAAAAATTCTGCCCCTATTCAATATGGCTGCAATAACTGTACGTGAATTGGCCTTTAGAGAACTATTATTTTCTAAAATTAGTGAAAAAGTTCCCTTTATTTCAAATATGAACAATGAAGCAAGACTTAAATTTTAAATACATGTGGTTATAATTAGATATATATTTAGAATTATTGTAAAATTCATTAGTGACATGTACAATTCTAGAAATGTTTTATTGTCAGAGTAATAAATAACTTTGTAGTACCACCTCCTCAGCAGACATTAGACTCATTATACATATATAAATATCTATATATTAATGTAACACTATTTTCGTTTTTAATAAAAATTTATGTATACACTGTTTATAAATGTTGACAGTTATGTGTTTGTATGTTTAATAGTAAAGCCAATGTTTATCCTGTAACTTTGGATTTGAAACCAATAAAATATCTTTTTAATAGAAAAACGAAGGATATGCCATCATATGGGGTATGTATGTATCCTTATCTTTACATTTCTAGGAATATGATTGGTTAAAAGCAACCGTGTGTAGACCGTGAATATTTCACATGGGGTTAGTAGGCGTGATTTATTTAGTAGTGGTGTTACATCCCTTTGTAAAAACAACAGAGTGTTAAGGAAAAATCTGAACAGACGAAGAAATTGATGATGAACAATTGAAATAAATTCATAAAACACATTTAAAGCTAACAATTTGTTATTGTTGACATTTGTTTTTGTATAGACCAATGGAAGCAGGTTCTTAATACTAAGTATTGAAGACTTGATCACTTTGATAGGCCACTAGTCTAAATACCACGTTTAGAAAGTCGGGAAGATAAATTCATTACACAGTGTGCTAGCTACATGCTGCATATTTAACTTCGTACATCTATTTCAGGTCTGCAACCAATATAAAAATAAGATGTGGCATGATTGCTAAAGAGACTGTAGTGTTTGTATATATAGTGACCCCATATATCGTATTAGGTCAGTAACACACTATGTAACTAATAATCCATGACACAAAATCAGTATGTACACATGCACAGAAAAAAACCCACACAAAAAGCATCTAACGGAGACTCTTGCTGTGTCGGAGTGACACATATTTGACAAAATTATGTCCATATGTTGAATTTATCGGTCATGAAACCATCTAAGGATCTCTTAACAGTAGTGGCAGATCTAGGGGGTGTTTTCCAGGGGTTGGACCCCCCCTTTTTTGACGATCAATGCTTTTGAATGGGGACACATGGTTGGAACCCCCTTTTAAAAATGGCTGGTACCCTCCCCTGTACAGCTGCATGGGGTCATTTAATCAGGAATATTTAAAAGTATATTCTATTCTATAGAATCCATATCATATGGGTCCACACCTGTTATAAAATACTTATGAAGTATATTGTTACACTTTTTCCATTATTTAGTGCATGGCAAATGCACCAAAAAGAAAAATACCTCAGTATAATTTGATGATCAAAAGCTGTGGTGATAAGAACTGAGTGAGTTGAAGGGAGACAAGTTCTTCAATCTTCAATCTTTGTCGTGATGACAGGGTAATCTCTGTTGTAAATTATCCTCTCTTGTAAAATTGGTTTCCTGTGTTGACAAGTTACAAAATAAGGGGACGACCATTTGATATTCTGGGGGGGGGGGGGGGGCAGGAGGATTTTGAAAATAAATAACTCATCCTTGATAATCACAAAAATAAATGGTTTGTTCTGTGGTAGTTTGAAAATAAATTACCTGACTTGCAATTTATTGAAAATAAATAACTCAGCAGGTCTAATCGAAAGTATGAGATGGCACCAGATTCTTCATAAATTCATCTTTTTTCCAAAAAAAAAATCGAGAAACACTTCCCATATCTTTTAAATTAATAATAAAAGTATAAATATTATTTAAATATACTTGCTGTGACCTATAATGGTTTACTTTTATAAATTTTGACTTGGATGGAGAGTTGTCTCATTGGCATTCATACCACATCTTCTTATATCTATTGAAATGTCAGAAAATTGGTTTCATTTAACTTGAGGTTAATTGTCTCAGGAACACTTACCTCACTTTTATTAAATCAGGGCCGTAACTACATTGAGACAAATGCCTCATGTAGGAAATTTCAAAACCAAACGCTTGTCTCCATATCAAATTGTGTTCACCGTGAGTGCCTTGCAAGAAGCAAGTTCTGTTCTCCCTCAGATGTAGCCCCTGACTTATCGGGATCAATGTTTCTTATTTATTTGTCTTTTGTTCATTGATTGCCCTTCTGTATTCTGTTAGTGTTGCATTCATTTTGTAATTTAGTAATTTTATTATTAACTTGATCATGAGTTTAAAAAAACACAGCAGCCACAGACTTAACTATGTGAATTACATTTTTGCTTTATCATGCATATTTGTCTTTTGATGTTGTTCCTAGAAACTTAAGTCTTACACTGAATCTATAACGTGATTTTGCTTTGAGACCAAAATATTGTCATAAAATTATTAAAACAGAACTTGCATTTTCAGTTTAAGAAAGGGTCTGGGGAACACCCAGAAGGCATGATTTTGCATCATTTGTTCTATAGCTTCTTGGGCCTTCAGCAGTTTAAAAACCCTTCAAAAAAAACATGTTTGCCAATACTTTTAAAAGAGCCTTAGTTACAAACAAATTTTAATACTGTGTATGTATGCAATACATGTATATGCATTGGGGAATATAGAAGATTCATTTCTGCAGAGGATAATAATTAATTCTGATTAAATGGTACATAATGCAGAGGCGTAGCTGGCCTAAAATAAAGTGCAAGCATAAGTCTTGTATCGCCGGGCGGAGCGAGGCCAAAAATATTTTGGGACCTTTTTATGCAGAAAATGATAATTTTTCGGTCATTTTCCAGGTATGCCATGCTTATGAAATTCACATTACTCCTTATTAACATGGTTGTTTTCAAATATAAAATAAATTTTATAAAACGGGAAGATCAGTCGACAAGTCAACCGAAGCGTTTATCAATAGAAGGGCAATCAATGGACACATGACCAACCCGGGAACAGATAAGACACAAAAGAACAAACAAAAACATTCAATATTGAAAACTAAATACAGATAAAAAAACACGAACCCCGAAAAAAAATGTGGCGACCTCCAGTGCTCCGGAAGGGTAAGCAGGTCCTGCTTCTTGCAAGACATCCGACCGTAGCGTTTCTCACTAAGGTCATTTTCGAATCAAAGGAGCCTGAGGTTTCTACGACAACGGTAGAAGGTCACTTGGGACACAGATACCCAAGGTGAATTAATAGTCTTTTGGACGAACGGACAATGGGAATACGAAATCAAACGGCGACTTTTAAGTCTTGACTTATAAGTGAGGGATATAAATCTTAGATGTTTTCAAGGTTATTGTATTGAGCCTGTATTATTAAATGTTAATACTCATGTAAGACTTAAAGTAAAGTTAATATCCAAAGTCCATATATCTATTTTTTGCCAAGGCAAAAGATCGCAGAACTCTCTCGGTGTCGATATTCATTTCTCTGTGAACATGTATGAGCGCCAACGAAGATAGTCTGTCCTATACCACGGTTGAACGGGGATAAGTTTTAAGTCGCCGTAATGCACTAAATGACCGTTCAGTAGTTGATGTAGTTACTGGCATTGTAACTAAGATTGACACGATTGCAAACTATTGAAGGATATAGTTTCTTTTTAGTCACTGCTAGAGACGACATCAGAGATTTGGGCTACTCTATAACATCTGGACCCAACCATCGTCTCTGCCATCTCTTTACCTCAGAGTTGAAGGTTTCTTGATTGTCCGTCAAGTCGTGTCTAAATGTTTCGTATATTTTGTCTATACACTCTGCTGTCAAAGATTCCAAACGTGCAGGTATTTAATTGAAATTAAGGTTCTGGCCTTGAAAACGATCAGAATTATCCAGTAAACGTCCTGTGAGTTCTTCAATGAAATAGTCAAGAAAGGAGAAATACAAGGCTCGCTTCCAATATTGACTTGGAGTGTCAGCTGGATAGTTAGCCCGGTTGACCTGTCTTCCTACTCATTCGTAATTTAATTTCAGAATTATTTTTTTTTGTGAAAAAAATGTGCAAGCAAATGATTTTTTGCGTAAAGGCAGCTACGCGCCTGTAATGACTTGGCTATACATGAATTATTTATAATAAACAAATAATTTAAAAATTGTATGTTTTCGAATATATAAATATAGTTGTGAAAATAAATAATCAATCCCTTGCTTTAATGAAAATGAAAAATCTTGCTTCAATAGTGCAGAAAATAGATAATCTGTCCTCTTAGTTTACAAAAATAAATAACCGATCCAAAACAAATCCTCCTGCCCCCCCCCCCCCCCCCCCAGAATATCAAATGGTCGTCCCCTAAACAAAAAATAAATCATGTGAATGAGTTTCAGTTTTTATAATATTTTTTTTCGGGATATATGTACATACTATATGAAAAAATTCTCAGACGATAACTTACATCATGTACATAGTCATACTATAAACACTGATACAGGTTTTGGGGTACTAAGACTGGTTTTAGGTTAAGCGGACGTCCCACTTTTCGGTCATCAGGATGAATTTCACGCTTTTTGTGACATCATCAAATCTAGTGCACAAAAACACTTGTCAACACAGGAAACCATCCATGGCGTAAACAACGAATATTGCAAATGCATGATGGAAAGTACGTACGCGAATGACAACGAATCTTTCAAGAAATTTTTATTGGATTTTTGTACAAATGTAATTGTAGAGACTGAAGAGAGTGAAGACCTTCCTTTTCGACTGGTGAGCAAACAGTTAACTCCAGATGAGTTGGAAGCCGAGACCTTGGAATGGAGCATTCGTTATTTATCAAAATAGTAGGTTTAGTGTTTATTACTTTTTTGTTATTTGTAAATTGAAACACGCGTTGAAATATTCGCAAGATATCGTATGTCTTTTCTTGATGACAATGATGTATTGATACTTGTATTTGTAAAAACTAAAAAAGTCTTGATAAAGGCTATGATTTTTCCTGAGGAATAATACTTTAAGTTTAATAGATGTATAAACCTAAAAATGACTTTCGAATTCATGCACTTTCCCGTAAATTTCCTATGTCACGATGCATATATTATTGATTGACAGTAAAAACCAATTGACACGAATTTGTTCAAGGATATCGTTTACGCTGATTGACCTCAGGTCAACAGTTGTAATTCATTCACAAAAAACATCTTGAGATTGGTGTTACTGTATATAGATAAAGTACTCAGAATATGCCCCCGCTAAGCACCTTGTTGTTCCATTTGAAGCATCAAAAGCTCGGCACTGGGTATGGTGGTCTGTCACAGTCCACGATAAACTTTTAAATCTACAGGCCTGGAACTCAAGGTTGGCAAAAAAGCGGTCAATACTAGTATTGACCATGCCGGCGGTAAATACCGGTAAATACCGGGAAATACTGGCAAATACTGGTCAATACTGGCAAATACTGGTCAATTGAAATTTTGATAGGACTTTACTATAAAACTAGTCCCTACCTCAGGTCAATTACTTGGTAAATGGATAGATATAGTCACAAGGCAGAAAGTCACTTATTTACTACATTGTAATAAGACAAAAAGTCACAATTAATTAGTTCATGAACATGGTTTAATGAAGATTTATCAAATATTAATTTAATCATACAACAGATATAGTCATTAACACCATGAAGTCAGTCACTTAAGAGAGACTATATAACATCTGATTTTCTTAACAGTTATTTTGAAAGATGCAAAAAAAATTTAAAAAATTGTTTTATATATATATATATATATATATGTTATATATTTATTAAAAAAAACATTTCCTGCATTTAGAACATTTTTATCGTGCTGTTGAATAGTCAGGAATTAATTCATTGTTTAAAACAATCTTTAGAAATCACTTTTATGACTTTTTTCCTGTTATGTCAACATTTATTAGGGGACAGTTGTTATAGTAATTAAACTTTTGACACCTGTTAGCCATATAATAGGTAATGTTCTGATAATCTATATTGCTAGTCACTTGTAATTCTATTTACCTGTAAAATTCAAACCTTTTCAAGAAAAAAATATCTTGATTTATACATGTTAGAATAACTGATATAGCTGCTCAATTTTATATGTATACCAAAAGTATGCAATATCATTACCCCTAAGAACTAAATTAGTCATTTTTAATGTTTTAATAATTAATAACATACCAATATCATTCATTTTTATAAATTGAATTATGCCAAAGGAATAAAGTTTTCCCTCATCAACCATTTTTTTACTAGAATTGATAGATAAGTCAGTCAAAAGAAGCATGAAAATTTCAATTGACCAGTATTTGCCAGTATTGACCACTTGGGGAGTATTATCCGGGGCGGTAAATACCGGTAAATACCACTGGTAAATACCGGGGGTGGTAAATACCGCCCAACCTTGCTGGAACTCGATTTTTGGAAAATTTTAGTTAAATTCTGTTGGCCTGCAGAGATGATTTTTACAGGCCCAATAGCAATTTTACAAGCCTGGGCTGCTGGGCCTGTGGTAAAGTAAGAAGACTGCTGTCATGAAGATGATATTCAACAACATCTTTCAACTAAGTGATCATATTTATATTTATGTATATTATCTAGCAGTAGTCTTATCAACCAATAAATAGTAAGTTGAATATCAACCTCTAAAGTGATGAAAGGGCCCTGAAGCATTAAGACATGGCAAGCTTTAAAAAATGTTCTTGATCGAAATTTATATGGTTACTCAGTCAACAAATGAAAAAGTTACGCTGTTATTTAATGAATATGAAAGAGAAATAGAGAAATCTTAGGAATTGGATTTTACAGGTACTAAATGTATATTAGTACATGAAATTATTGTTAAAGCACTTGCATTAGTTGCATTCAGGAAATAACCCTTGCATGATTAACAAGAGGTGAAATTTCATCAACTGTAGAAGGCATGGTTAATACATGTACATGTAGGTCAAGTTAAATTTTCCAATGGTGATTTAAAGAACAAAGTTATAATAAAGAATCATTAAACTGACATTGTACATGTATGTACAATGTATGAATGAAATATTCAAATAATTTAACCTAGAAAAAGTTTGTAATTAATTTTCCTGCAAAATATTAATTATAGATTTTTACTTTAGTCATTAGGAATGAAAGTTGCTTCTTCAGAAAAGTACATTGTATCAAGCTACTTTGACACAAAACTATTTTTGGTCTCTTATTTCTTCTAAAAATATTGAAATTCATTCCATAATTAAATAAACAAGTATTTATTAAATGCAAAAAATTGCTCCCATACCAAGTCTAATCTTAAACTTGTGAAAAAGAAGATATACATGTATGTATGGGAAACTACAATGTACATGTAGCCCCAAAGTTGGTCTTCGGGTGCAAAAAACATCAATTTTGACAATTTTTCATCTAATTTCTTGACCAGGAAGACTGAGGGATGCTGATAGATGTATCTTACTGTAGTCTGCATGTAGAGTGGACCCCAGTGAACACATTAGTCACAAAAAAGCCTAGGTCGGAGTCAAACTGTTCTTGGTACAGCAGTATAAAGAAGGTCATTTGCACCAAAATCCGGAATTTCTCGATTTTCCCCGATTTTTGGCTTCAACTGGACCTGCAACCGAAGTAGTCGTTCACTAAGTGGATTTCATTTTCAATAATAAACAGGATCAGTAGTTATATTGCCGCAGGTTTACACTAATTTTTAAAGTTTTAGGCCTCTGAACTGCGTATGTCTGACACCGAAGGGAAGCCGACCCCTCCAGAAAAACCAGTTTTATTCGATTTCAATTTTCCAAATTCGTGTTTGAGCTGAAAATGCATGTTAAACATGAGAAACATGACAAAAAGTAGCGTCAGGTTGAGGAAACATGCATAAATTTCGAAATTAATGTCATAAAGTTGACCTCTAAAAGTATGGAGAGCCATTTTAGCCAAATAACAGTAGTTTGGGTAATTCCCTCATATGAAGGGCACCGCATGGTAGCTACCATAAGGGTTAATTATGTACATTTGAAGTTAACAATCTACCATAGATCCATTCAGTAAATCATTTATTAACTTAATCTTTCAAGATTTGTTGCATCTAAATGCTCTTGCCCTAATTTGCATGTTCATGTAAATCTTAATGTTTAAAAAAATCTGAACAGCATATATTTTCGTTTGAGTTCCTTTTTTCAGTGATTGGACAAGAAAAGGTATGCAGGCCTATGTGACATACACAAATCCATTAAATTATTAGGAAATTGCAAATAAATTAAGATTACCTTTTTCCTTACTATTTACACATTTTTGTGTTTGACTGTTTAGCATTTTTTGTTTTTGATGATTAATTTACAGAGAATTTGCTCTTAAATATCAGATGGTATATTTTGATTGTCCGTTTCATTTTTGAAGTAGACAATACACACTAGCATTAACAGCAATGAGAAAAGGAACAGTGTGTGTTTCATGCATGATCAATAATTATAATTAGTAGTCTATTGGAATAGTCCTATTTGTAAATCCTGGTATATTTGTTTTATCTTGAAATTTATTTTCAGAGGGAATATAGCATATTGTCCGTCCATATATACATCTATATGACCGGTTCATCCATTAGTGCTTTAAGATTTTAGTTTTCTTTTTAATTTTTTGAGTAATCTCCCCTTAATCTTCTCCAAAATTTTATTTATTCAAGTTTCCTTGATACAAAGTAATTGGCACACACAGTTGCGTTGTTGGGTTGCAGTTTTCTTGACATTTAGCACATGGCAATAAGGAGTGTTTTTTTGTTTACTTTATACCTATTGTCATGATTGTATAGCCAGTTGTGTTGCCATGGTTGTTGGGTTGCTGTTTACTCATAGCATGATGATGTTCAAACTTAAATACTTTTAAATCAACAACATTTGATAGTTATTGTTTGATTGTACATTAAATTGAACTTGTACTTTACATTAGATATATTTATTAAGATTTTTTTTATTTAGTAATTTGCAGATATTTAGGATTAAAGGAAAGAACATGAAACCATTCAGGAATTTTGACATTTATCCCAATTTTATAGATCATAGTTATATGAGTTTTACCAATACTTTTTGCACTGCTTGAATTAATGATTTTTTGCATACAAATGATACATTTTGTACATCATATGTGCATGGGCCATAAAACATATGTATCAATGTTAACCCCTCTTGGGTGTATATGAACTGATCAGTATCATTACATATTTCCACCTACATAGATAAAGTACATGAACCATATCATGCATATAGACATTTATCTGGAATCAAAGATAAAAAAATGTTTTAGATTATAAAGTCAAAAATTATTAGATTATTGAGGATGTGAAATATTATTAACAACTCTATGACACTTGACCTGTGCCTTGATTCTCGTTTATGAATTACAACCACTAGAACTTGGATTTGAGTTAAGTATTGTTAAACAGCCAAACCCTTAGATGTCGATTGGATTGACAAACTGTTTCCTTGTACACGGACATCTTTGAGATAATATTGATAATTTTTTCTTTTAATAAAATTATTTTGGGGTGTTGACTATTGCTCACTATTTACTAAAAAAAATTCTATGGAAAATGAGATATTTATAAATATGAAAGTCTTGAAAGAAAATAATGGGCAAAATGCGCAGAATAAAGGACAAAAAATATAAAGAATAGAGAAACTTATAAATTTATAAACGGACATGCAATTTAAGAAATGTTTGTTATTGATGATGTCAGTAACGAAGTACTGACTACTGAGCTGATGATTCCCTTGAGGACTGATAGTTCACCAGCATAGGTATCGACCCAGTGCTGTAAAAAATGAAAACAACACGTTAAATAATTTC